GAATGAAAGCTTAAGAACGCTCGAAGAAAAACTTGCGATGATCTCCCAACAACAGCAACAGCAACAACAACAGCAATAGCAGAAGGACGTCCCCACAGATGATCCTACCGCACCTCGTATGAGCACTAAAAGCTCATGCTCTACTGCAGATCATACTGATTACACTATTCAGTATGAGTTTTTGGTTGATGAGGATCCTCCGCGCGTAGTGGAGCTGGGACGACAGATTGCAAGAGGCCAAACCATTCATGGTGCTCCTTTATTGCCCACTCACGCGCGAGTAACGATTGATGATGTTAGAGACCTGTAGGCTCTCGTGCCAGTACCTACATCTGAAATCCAATTTGTGGGGGAGGCCTTAGACACATTTATAGCTTGGTCTAAGGCTATGATCATGCCATATTTTGGCCAACCAGCGGTATTATATTCTTATTTTTATTATCTTTAATCTCCAAGTTATAATTAAATGATTCCTAACTTTTGTAAATGTGACTTGCAGGTCTATCGTCTTGAGAAACAACCAATGCCTCAACTTGTGTGAGGCTCATGAGGAAGCAGAAGACGATGATGATCCTTTATCCATATTGACATCGAGATTAAATAAGTTGAGAAAAGGACCGATAGAGCTGGTGTGGGAGTTAAGAACATTTGGCCTCGAGTGCCATATTCCATTGTATATTACTTTCAATGATGCATTTGAGATCATTGGTGGAGAAACAATGTTGAACATTTCATGCATACAACTATGGTGCATGTAAGTTTTTTAATTATTATTTTCCAATTTGTATATTAGTATTATTACTTTTTAATAAATATACTTAACTTTATTGTTATAGGTACATGGATACCGTCGTAGTGGAATAAGGTCGAGTGTTAATTTATGGCTTTCTTGAACCTCAGACCATTCAACCATCTGGAAACACATTAGAGTCCAGAAAATCATATATGCAAACATGGATGACTGAGTCTAATAGAGAGATGTATATCGCGCCATACATTGATGCATATGTGTTTTCCAATATTGTCAACTTTTATCAAATTTTAATCAATAAACTACTACTTTTTGGTACATGATAAGGGACATTGGAAACTAATGGTGATCATTCCAAAAAAAGCACAAGTTGTATGGTTTTGTTCTCTTCATAGGAAGATGAAATCGGAGTTGAAGTCCTTGTTATAATCGTAAGTATTACATTCATTCATACCAATTCATGATGATATTAATATATTAACTTATGTTTCTAATGTTTAAAATGTTTCAAATTTGTTTAGAGTTGTTGCTAGGACCAGAGGACAACAAATTGAAATTATATATCCTAAGGTTGGAATTCGTTGATCTTTAACCATTAATTTTCGTAGTCAAATTTAAACTATTACATTTGACTAAGTTCTTTCACATATTTAGTGTAAGAAGCAGAATGATTCCTGGGCATGTGGCTACTACATCATGTCATGGATGAAGGCAATCATCCGAGCAGAAATCATAGGAGATTGGATTGAGGTTTAAATTTACATTTGAAAATCTTACGAATATCAATAAACTTTTTACATTAAAATGAATATAATAGTAAAGTTTCCTTGATTTTGCAGCGGTTCAACACTACCTCTACATTGTCAAATGTAATAATAAAAATGATAAGAGAGGAATGGGCACTATATTTGAATAAACATTTTAAATAGCTATAGCTTTAGGTTTTTCCTTTGATGATAGTAGCATTTGCTTAGCTTTTAGTTTTACTTGTGCAGCTTTTTGAATGCATGAATTGATAATAACATCGTTTAAGCTATGAATAGATGAATATTGTGAATAGATGAATGGAAAACTGGATTCTTTTAAGTTTTGATGATAGCATTAGCATCTTTTAGTTTTACTATTTAATTGGAATTGATGATAGCATGGTTTAAATTAATTAATTATGTGAATATATGAATTGGAGAACTCGTTTTTGTATTTCAGGTTTGGTAAAATGACTTATAACGAACCAAATTTAAAAAAAAAACAAAACGTGACGTCGAACTATACACCATTCGACATTCATATTGAATCTTAACGTCGCACAAAGAACTAATTGTCGAACTATACACCATTCGACATTCATATTGAATCTTAACGTCGCACAAAGAACTATTTGGCGTTCGTATAATACAGTGAATGTAACGATCAAAATGTAAGATCAAGCATAAACCACTTCAACCTTAAACTTACGTCAAGCCTCTTCATTTAAATATAAATATTTATTCAAATATTAGACATCCTTTCTTTGCTACTCGACCTGTATATCAACAAAACATGACGTCATTCGGCTAACTTCGACGTCCAAGTTATGTCAGCTTTACATTATTTCATTCAAATTACGCCAAATTTTGCTATAAATATAAATATTTATTCAAATATTAAACGTCCGGCACTTTAATATCCGACGAGTCTTAAACAACAAGTAACGTCGACCTACATAAATGGACGTCAACTTTACGTCATACATCTTTGTCCTTGACGTCAACTTTACGTCTCTCCCCTTACATTTGACGTCAAATCTTACGTTGAATATAACTAGTTATTAAGATATTAGACGTCGAACTCTATACAGTAGACGTGGATATAAAGGCGTAACGTCGAGCTGTAGGTGTTCAACGTCAAAATTACGTCTCACGATATGACGTCGAACGTGAATACGTCGTTAAAAGCCAAAGATATTCAACGTTGTACGTTGTTTTTGTACAAGTGATGCATAATTTACTATAATCTTACAAATAAGCTATTCTACACGCATCCACAATGCTACAGATCAAATATAAAAAAGTGGACGTTATAGACAAAGGAAATATTCATGGAATGTTCCTCACTTGGAGCAAAGTCTAAAAAGATTATACAAGCTGCTTCAAGCAAAGGACTAAAAAAGCATGTCTGCTCTGACAAGTTGAATTACCCAACAGTTGTTGTGCAAAGAAGAAAGAGAAAGCACGAGTATCACGGCTACAAGCTTAGTCTAACGGACAAATATTCATTAAACCTATAATAGAAGATCTCTCAAGAGAAAAATCAAGAGGATAACATAAGAGCATAAAAGCTTATAATGAAATATTCATACTAAGAAGCAAAAGAGAAAGAGCTCAAGAAAAAAAAGATATCTGAGCTGAAGAGAAGAGAAGAGAAAAAGAGAAAGAGATACTCTCGTACTTCATTGTCATATTGCTTATTGTTGTAAGAGAAAAGAGAGAAACACTTGTGAGTGTTTAGACTGCTTTGTATTGTAATCAAATCCTCTCTGCGAAAGATATAGTCTAAACTACTTGTAAGCAATTGTTGATTGCAATTCTGAAGAGAATTAAAATACTTACAACTGAACTCTGTTTGAGTTAAGGAATCTTAGCAAGGTTGCTAAGTACCAATAGTGGTTCAAATGCTCAAAGGAAATCTCGACTAAGGTTGTTGAGTACTAGGAGTGGTGCGAATACTCAAAGAAAACTCGACTAAGGTTTCTGAGTACCAAGAGTGGTGTTAATACTCAAAGAAAATCTCAACAGGTTGTTAAGTACAAGGAGTGGTGCTAATACTCAAAGGAAATCTCGACGGGGTTGTTGAGTACCAGGAGTAGTGCTAGTACTCATTTGTAATCGTGTGAAGATTATAGTAGAACACTCTGCAAAGGAGACTAGATGTAGCTTAGTTGGAGCGAATCAGTATAAAATCTCTTGTGCAATTATCTCTTCTCGTACCTAAACGATCCTCTTGTGAAAACCTGTAGTCGTGCTTTATTTCTAAACATAAGAATCTTTTGAGCTAAACGATCTTATTCATAAAGGAAGTTCTTAACAAAACGCTGTAGTATCTACATTTTGAGTAGCACGTTAAAAATTGTTATTATACAAATCTATTAAGTCGAGCTTTCAATCATTTAAAACAAAAATTTCAAGAGCTTGATAATGTGCTATATCATAAGGGTTGCGAAAATTTTCCATTAACACTATTCAACTCGTCCACCCCCTTATGGTGTTTTTCAAGTACTTCACTAAGTACCTTAAGGCTTAAGCAAGCCAAAAGACACTCAAAAGTGACACTCCACCCTTATCTTTGGTTCAAAAATGGCGCTAAGGTCCATTAATCAGCCCTAAATTCTAGTGATGCTTAAGAAAGACTTAGCAATGGTCGTTGACCAAATACAAGGCGTAAAATAAACATATGTATATATTTACAAGCTTTACGAGAAAAGAAGGAAGAACTAGTACTCTATCTTCCATAGAAGTAGAGTTCTTTGAGATATGTCTTTCTCTTCCATCCTCTTTGCTTTTGCTCTAGTGAGAGGTCCAATGTGTCTACCAAATGGTATTCCATCAGCTTTTCATGTGGCCACCATGTCTCATGTGGAACACCCTCCACCAACATAGGGTTACAAAACTAATCACCCAAAGATTAGCTTAAGCTAGACACAAATATTGCCTTACAACTTAAGCTAGATTGTTCAAAAACCCTACACTACTTGGCCTTTAATACAAGGCCTAAAAAGAAATCTTACACTACTTGACCCTTAATATAAGATTTAAATATTCCTAATCTACTAGAGGTGCTCCATGATGACCTAAGAGAAAGAACTTTATTTTACCTTGCATAAATGACTCTAATACTTCTTGAATATGTTTGGGTCATAGTTAAAAAGTATGTCAATACCGACCAATGTCTAATAGACTTAATAGTCAAATATATTAAATTGACAAAATGGATTCAATTTATATTTAATCTAATTTAAGTTGAGTAAAGAAAATCCAAATTTTGTTAAATTTGAACTAAATTTGGAAAAATTCAATCCATAAGCACCTTTATTTCACAATAACCTCGCAAGAATATTTCTAAACTAAGAAGTAACTGAGAACGTACCTAATAAACCATTTCCTTACTATGCAAAATGTGGGAGATGAATAGCCAATGTGAATATTTTATTATAGATTCCAACTAACACATTATTATGACATTATATTATTTTGGATAAAAAGTTTAAATGATTATTAACCTATGTATAAATGTAATATAGCTGCTCCAAGTATAAAGTTGTGCTTTGTACACGAGTTCAAGCACCCAAATGCTTCATAATTTTTATTTGTGAAAAAAATAAAGCTAGTATAGGATATTATGCATATATATAAGAAGCACAATCGTCAAATTGATATGCTATATGGAACTCCCTTTCCAGTAACTCCAGGCCCTGAGAATGGCTTCATTAGCTCATATGGCACCACCCCAGCACCATTCCTATTCTTCAAATTAGTATCTGCATTTCTTGAGTCTATGATACCTTCAATCTCCTTCAATTTCGTACTAAACCTTTCAAAGGCCGACTTTATAGTTGGATTCTCAACCCATGATTGTTCCACGTATTGTCCAATATACTCCTCATCTGGAGAATGATCCGATAACAAATTCAAAACAACCATCACCAAGGTTGATTGAATTTGTGATGGTAAACACTCCAGAAATATTTTCTCAGGGCTATTTATCAGTTTTTCCAACTCTTCCTTAGAAGGGTCTTCTGTAGGAATGTTATTTCTAGCAATTGTAGGTCGATTAGGGAAATAGCCTCCATAAGCATATTGGGCAAAGTTAACAGCTGCATGATGCGCAGAAGCTACCCAAGCTATAGTTGTAACGATCTCTGTAAGGTCTTTTGGTGTTTTGAGATTTGGCCACCATTGTTCTTTGGCTTTGTCTCCATGACCCACTGTTCGAATTTCTGTCCACCATGCTTGGAGCTCTTGATCAGACTCCACCGTGCTTGGGATTGGATAGTAATGGTTAACATACTCAGTTACCCATTCTTTGATGGCATCCCATATAAGAAGACCATCATTGGCAAAAGGGTAGTCTTCAATTGTTAGCTTTAGGCCATGTGGTGCATTTGGATCAGCCACAGCCATTCCTCTGACAACAGATCATAGAAGACCAAAATTAACATCAATAGGTGAGTAATGTGGCTTTACAAAAAGAAGTAAACATAATGAAACTAATACTTTATTCTATAAATGGAGAAAGATTGCTTTCAAATGAATAACATTTTCTATGAACTTTACCTGGAAATAAGATCATTGGGAAGTGCTTGCAAATCAAACTGCCAAAGTTGATCATATGCCACAGAACTTATTTCCATAGAATATTTTCTTGGAGTGAACGAACTTTCAATGACCCCATTTGCGCTGATAAGCACCTCACGAGCGAGGGAATTGATCTCCATGGTATATCTCATGTGTGGATGCAGTAATCTGTAGATTGGATGCATGATGCTAAGTTGCCTATGCGTTGCAATGATGAAGGGTTCTACAGCACAATGAGTTCTTAACCTACGAAATTGAACAATTTATGCATACAAAATTAGAATCAATTACAGACTCTTAAAACTTCCCATACCAACTAATTGGTTTGATCATTGTGTCATTATTATGAATGGCAAAAGGCAATAACATTACTGCACTCACCAATGGCTCACAAGTTCATGATAACCTGAATCTTGGGCAAGAACATGAAGTTTGGCCAGCCTCCAAAGCCAGAGATTGGTTGGATGAGAAGAGGAATGAGAAGATGGTTTGAAGACCTCCTTCCATTGTGGCTTGCCTTCCATAGCTGGTCTTGTGAGCTCAATAGCTAATGGTTTCAATGTTCCTTGTTCAGTGAGGAAGAATAGAGTCCGTGATCCATATAATGTGGTTCCCTTAATCTCTCTCACTTTGCTTACATATGGTAAGAATAAATCATGGTAGTCTAACATAAATAACTTCTTCTGTTCAATAGCCTGCATGCATGTATCCAAACTAAGTATTACTTTTAATCATAACACAGTCTAATTTAGTTTAAGTCAATGATGCTTTGCTACCTCTTCAATTGTGCAATAACCAATTATTTGCGGCTCAATGACTTCTCTAGTGATTGCTGATTCTGGTGAACCATAGATTTGGGGATCTAATTTACTTTTCAAGGGCCACTCCTGCAGAATGAATAAAATGAGAACAAATTATTGAAGAACATTTCAGTGTGTATTATACTAGAAGCAAAAACCAATTATTTTGTTCTACTCTTGCCTTGACCACTTGGATGCTATAGGGGTTGACACCTGCCAAAGTTTCCCTTGCAAATTGTTCATCTGATAACCAAAAGAATCTATCCCCTGCAATTTCCAATGACACAATCATATAAATGTAGAAAACTCTATAGTTTCTTTATCTTTTACATATAGGAATGTGTTGGAAACTCTAGCTTACATGATTTCCCAGTAAAGATNGAGCTGAAGAGAAGAGAAGAGAAAAAGAGAAAGAGATACTCTCGTACTTCATTGTCATATTGCTTATTGTTGTAAGAGAAAAGAGAGAAACACTTGTGAGTGTTTAGACTGCTTTGTATTGTAATCAAATCCTCTCTGCGAAAGATATAGTCTAAACTACTTGTAAGCAATTGTTGATTGCAATTCTGAAGAGAATTAAAATACTTACAACTGAACTCTGTTTGAGTTAAGGAATCTTAGCAAGGTTGCTAAGTACCAATAGTGGTTCAAATGCTCAAAGGAAATCTCGACTAAGGTTGTTGAGTACTAGGAGTGGTGCGAATACTCAAAGAAAACTCGACTAAGGTTTCTGAGTACCAAGAGTGGTGTTAATACTCAAAGAAAATCTCAACAGGTTGTTAAGTACAAGGAGTGGTGCTAATACTCAAAGGAAATCTCGACGGGGTTGTTGAGTACCAGGAGTAGTGCTAGTACTCATTTGTAATCGTGTGAAGATTATAGTAGAACACTCTGCAAAGGAGACTAGATGTAGCTTAGTTGGAGCGAATCAGTATAAAATCTCTTGTGCAATTATCTCTTCTCGTACCTAAACGATCCTCTTGTGAAAACCTGTAGTCGTGCTTTATTTCTAAACATAAGAATCTTTTGAGCTAAACGATCTTATTCATAAAGGAAGTTCTTAACAAAACGCTGTAGTATCTACATTTTGAGTAGCACGTTAAAAATTGTTATTATACAAATCTATTAAGTCGAGCTTTCAATCATTTAAAACAAAAATTTCAAGAGCTTGATAATGTGCTATATCATAAGGGTTGCGAAAATTTTCCATTAACACTATTCAACTCGTCCACCCCCTTATGGTGTTTTTCAAGTACTTCACTAAGTACCTTAAGGCTTAAGCAAGCCAAAAGACACTCAAAAGTGACACTCCACCCTTATCTTTGGTTCAAAAATGGCGCTAAGGTCCATTAATCAGCCCTAAATTCTAGTGATGCTTAAGAAAGACTTAGCAATGGTCGTTGACCAAATACAAGGCGTAAAATAAACATATGTATATATTTACAAGCTTTACGAGAAAAGAAGGAAGAACTAGTACTCTATCTTCCATAGAAGTAGAGTTCTTTGAGATATGTCTTTCTCTTCCATCCTCTTTGCTTTTGCTCTAGTGAGAGGTCCAATGTGTCTACCAAATGGTATTCCATCAGCTTTTCATGTGGCCACCATGTCTCATGTGGAACACCCTCCACCAACATAGGGTTACAAAACTAATCACCCAAAGATTAGCTTAAGCTAGACACAAATATTGCCTTACAACTTAAGCTAGATTGTTCAAAAACCCTACACTACTTGGCCTTTAATACAAGGCCTAAAAAGAAATCTTACACTACTTGACCCTTAATATAAGATTTAAATATTCCTAATCTACTAGAGGTGCTCCATGATGACCTAAGAGAAAGAACTTTATTTTACCTTGCATAAATGACTCTAATACTTCTTGAATATGTTTGGGTCATAGTTAAAAAGTATGTCATTACCGACCAATGTCTAATAGACTTAATAGTCAAATATATTAAATTGACAAAATGGATTCAATTTATATTTAATCTAATTTAAGTTGAGTAAAGAAAATCCAAATTTTGTTAAATTTGAACTAAATTTGGAAAAATTCAATCCATAAGCACCTTTATTTCACAATAACCTCGCAAGAATATTTCTAAACTAAGAAGTAACTGAGAACGTACCTAATAAACCATTTCCTTACTATGCAAAATGTGGGAGATGAATAGCCAATGTGAATATTTTATTATAGATTCCAACTAACACATTATTATGACATTATATTATTTTGGATAAAAAGTTTAAATGATTATTAACCTATGTATAAATGTAATATAGCTGCTCCAAGTATAAAGTTGTGCTTTGTACACGAGTTCAAGCACCCAAATGCTTCATAATTTTTATTTGTGAAAAAAATAAAGCTAGTATAGGATATTATGCATATATATAAGAAGCACAATCGTCAAATTGATATGCTATATGGAACTCCCTTTCCAGTAACTCCAGGCCCTGAGAATGGCTTCATTAGCTCATATGGCACCACCCCAGCACCATTCCTATTCTTCAAATTAGTATCTGCATTTCTTGAGTCTATGATACCTTCAATCTCCTTCAATTTCGTACTAAACCTTTCAAAGGCCGACTTTATAGTTGGATTCTCAACCCATGATTGTTCCACGTATTGTCCAATATACTCCTCATCTGGAGAATGATCCGATAACAAATTCAAAACAACCATCACCAAGGTTGATTGAATTTGTGATGGTAAACACTCCAGAAATATTTTCTCAGGGCTATTTATCAGTTTTTCCAACTCTTCCTTAGAAGGGTCTTCTGTAGGAATGTTATTTCTAGCAATTGTTGGTCGATTAGGGAAATAGCCTCCATAAGCATATTGGGCAAAGTTAACAGCTGCATGATGCGCAGAAGCTACCCAAGCTATAGTTGTAACGATCTCTGTAAGGTCTTTTGGTGTTTTGAGATTTGGCCACCATTGTTCTTTGGCTTTGTCTCCATGACCCACTGTTCGAATTTCTGTCCACCATGCTTGGAGCTCTTGATCAGACTCCACCGTGCTTGGGGTTGGATAGTAATGGTTAACATACTCAGTTACCCATTCTTTGATGGCATCCCATATAAGAAGACCATCATTGGCAAAAGGGTAGTCTTCAATTGTTAGCTTTAGGCCATGTGGTGCATTTGGATCAGCCACAGCCATTCCTCTGACAACAGATCATAGAAGACCAAAATTAACATCAATAGGTGAGTAATGTGGCTTTACAAAAAGAAGTAAACATAATGAAACTAATACTTTATTCTATAAATGGAGAAAGATTGCTTTCAAATGAATAGCATTTTCTATGAACTTTACCTGGAAATAAGATCATTGGGAAGTGCTTGCAAATCAAACTGCCAAAGTTGATCATATGCCACAGAACTTATTTCCATAGAATATTTTCTTGGAGTGAACGAACTTTCAATGACCCCATTTGCGCTGATAAGCACCTCACGAGCGAGGGAATTGATCTCCATGGTATATCTCATGTGTGGATGCAGTAATCTGTAGATTGGATGCATGATGCTAAGTTGCCTATGCGTTGCAATGATGAAGGGTTCTACAGCACAATGAGTTCTTAACCTACGAAATTGAACAATTTATGCATACAAAATTAGAATCGATTACAGACTCTTGAAACTTCCCATACCAACTAATTGGTTTGATCATTGTGTCATTATTATGAATGGCAAAAGGCAATAACATTACTGCACTCACCAATGGCTCACAAGTTCATGATAACCTGAATCTTGGGCAAGAACATGAAGTTTGGCCAGCCTCCAAAGCCAGAGATTGGTTGGATGAGAAGAGGAATGAGAAGATGGTTTGAAGACCTCCTTCCATTGTGGCTTGCCTTCCATAGCTGGTCTTGTGAGCTCAATAGCTAATGGTTTCAATGTTCCTTGTTCAGTGAGGAAGAATAGAGTCCGTGATCCATATAATGTGGTTCCCTTAATCTCTCTCACTTTGCTTACATATGGTAAGAATAAATCATGGTAGTCTAACATAAATAACTTCTTCTGTTCAATAGCCTGCATGTATCCAAACTAAGTATTACTTTTAATCATAACACAGTCTAATTTAGTTTAAGTCAATGATGCTTTGCTACCTCTTCAATTGTGCAATAACCAATTATTTGCGGCTCAATGACTTCTCTAGTGATTGCTGATTCTGGTGAACCATAGATTTGGGGATCTAATTTACTTTTCAAGGGCCACTCCTGCAGAATGAATAAAATGAGAACAAATTATTGAAGAACATTTCAGTGTGTATTATACTAGAAGCAAAAACCAATTATTTTGTTCTACTCTTGCCTTGACCACTTGGATGCTATATGGGTTGACACCTGCCAAAGTTTCCCTTGCAAATTGTTCATCTGATAACCAAAAGAATCTATCCCCTGCAATTTCCAATGACACAATCATATAAATGTAGAAAACTCTATAGTTTCTTTATCTTTTACATATAGGAATGTGTTGGAAACTCTAGCTTACATGATTTCCCAGTAAAGATGATTAGTACATTGTGTCATATTAAATACAGCATCTGGAATATCAAATCTATGTAGTATATTGCACAAAAATAAGTTTAAAGCAAGTAATTATGCGAGAAGCTTTATTTCTTGTTATGAAAGTAAAGTGAACTTACTTTTAAATGCTTCTGGGGCATCAAAACGTAGAAGGTTCTGTTTATCATTGACAACACTGAGTAACTTTGGAATTACCCTTTGAAGCACATTCAATCCATTGGCTTGAAGCTGTGGCAAATGGAATCCCTCTTTGTAGAGCGTGTCTATGTCTTCAAAGCTCACAAATCCAAGATCTTGGTCAGACAGAATTGCATCTAAGGACTCCAAAACCAAACTTATGCCTGAGGATACTGTAGTTGTTGTGAACTGTGTTTGCTTTATGTCAGAAAACACCTCATCGCGAGGAACATAGAAGTTTGATCCTTTCTTTTCAGACAACGGATCTATGTAACAACAATCAAAAACCAAAAATAAAATTAGACGAAAATCTGTAACAATCTTATAATGATGAAAATATGTAAAAGAAGGGGAAGTAAGTGTTAGTAGTAGTCCTTCAAAAACTAAGCAGTATTGGAGCAATTGAAACAAAATTTTCTCAGAGAAAAACGGCAACTCTGGTCTTTAAACAAGTTATTTTCTAGTTAATTAGAGATTAAACAACCTATTTTAAATATTTTTGAAATGACTGTAGATGAATTTATTTATTAATAAATTAATAAATAGTAAACAAGCAGACGATTTTCTCAATCTTAATATATAACAATGTAAACATATTATTTTACCGAAAACTCTTAACCCACTCATATTATTATAGCTTACAGAAGCATTGTGGACCAGACACAAACACAATA